TTTTAAAGCTTTTTTTTTTGTTTGTTTTTTTTATGTTCGCCGCTAAACGTTGGCCGTAATTGTGTTGTCACTGATAGTAAATTAACGTAATTATACTGGCAATGACAGTTAATAAACGTAATTGTACGACAATACATTTATGTAATTGTTTTGCCGTTGACAGTAAATTAACGTAATATTATTATTTTTTATTTTTTGTTGTTTTTTTTATTTTGTTTGATTTGTTGACAAGTCAACGTATTATATTACTGTCGTTGACAGTAAAATAACTGTAAACACAATAATATTACTGTCAACAACATCAATATTATTATTTTTTTAGGTTTTTTGTTTTGTTTGAGTTATTCACGGAGTAACGTAATAATATTACTGTTTATTATTGTAATATTACTATAAACACAATAATATTACTGTGGTTGACGGTAATATTACTGTTATAGTAATATTGCTGTCAACCACATCAATATTATTATTTTGTTTAGATTTTTTTGTTTGTTTGAGTTATTCACGGAGTAACGTAATAATATTACTGTCTATTATTGTAATATTATTGTGGTTGACGGTAATATTACTGTTGTTATAGTAATATTACTGTCACTCACAGTAATATTAATTCTTTTGGCTTTTTATTATGTTTACATTAATTATACGGAGTTTTGTTGTGTTAATATTATTGTGCTAGACATTAATATAGCAATATTACTGTGTTAAATTGTAGTATAATTAATTTTAATGTGTTTAACAGTAATATAGTTAATACTACTGTCAATCATAGCAATATTGTTGTTTAAACGAAGAAAAAAATGTTAAAGGAAAAAAAAAAAAAAAAAAAAAGTCATCGCCGGAGACCGGCGTTGACCGCCAGAAACCGGTGGTCGAAAAATCAGGAAAAAAAAAAAGACAACGCTGAAAACCGGCGAAAAAATCCAGAAGGAAAAAAAATAATAAAAGAAATAAAAAAAAATCGAAAAAGTCAACGCTGGAATCCGACGGCAAAAAAAAATTTGAAAAAAAAAAGGTTTTGGGTCAAAATTGAATAATTTGTGAAATTTGGGGTCAAATTGAGGTTAAATTAAATTAAGGAAAATTGGAGCATATTAAAGTATGAGGGGCTGTTTTAGTCTTTTACAAAAATCTGGACCATGTGTTGACTTATTTGTAAAAGAGTTTTTTGTCTGTACCTCTTTATGAATAAATACCTATTGATGGGCTTATTTGTAAAGACCCCTAATTAAAAAAAACAGAGAGCTAGAGACAATTCCATACAATAGGACATTTATATTCAAGTAACTTGAGATAGTCACTTCATAATAATATCCAAATTAACTACTTATAGGTAATAATTAGTGCATAATTTATAATTTTATATTACACTGGCGTTGTAATATTATTATTATTATCATATTATTGTTTGTAATTCTTAAAAATCTAAGATCATAATATATAGTTATCGATCTTCAATTTCACTAATAATTTTCTTAAACAAAAAAGGTAAATGAGTAATTATAGTGAAGGAAAACGCGCCGATAATGGAAAATCTTGTGCGACTGACTGATAATAGAAAATTATATCATTAATTTGTATTTTGACAGGGATTATTAATTTATAGGGTTAACTGCAAAGAGGCCCATGACAAGAGCACTTAATTAAAAAAGGGACATCCAACTTTTGTCTTTCAAATATTTCGAGTTCATTCAAACTTATTTGCAAATAAGGAAAACCCTTTTATATATACCAAAATTACCCCCAATTCATTGAAACTCAATTCAACACCAATTTCATGATTTACATCCCAATTTCACCAATTAACCAATTTTGATTATAATTTCAATTTTGACCCGCCACCACCGGAGACCGCCGGTCAGCCGCCATTGACCGCTGGTCTACGGCATTGACTTTTTTTTGTTATGAAGACTTTTTTTTACGGTAGGTCAACCGCCGTTGACCACGCCGGGTCTCTGGCGTTGATTTTTTTTTTCTGTTTTTTTTCAAAAAAAAATTCTTGAAAACAATATTACTGTCTTGGGTGCTAAATTACTATCTCCCGCAGTTATTTAACTGTCGGAGACAGTAATTTAACTGTTAATTGGTTTTTTTCTTTCTTAAAAAAAATATTTTAATTATATTACTGTCGAGGCTGCTAAATTACTGTCTCCAACATTTATTTAACTGTTAATCGACTTTTTTTTTCTTAAAAGAAATATTTAATATTATATTCACAGTACTGTTTTTTTTTCTTTTAATGGTTCCGGATCCCATTAAAAGATTCTCGCAATATGCCAACTGCAGTTTTTCAATCTCATTTATCATCAAAACACAAATCACTTGATTTATTCTCAATCATAATTATCAAAGCACAGCATTTGATTTATTCTCACTAGAATTTTATGTATCACATTCGATATCAACCGGCCTCTTCACATGCTAATGTCAAAACAATCAATCAAAATTGATATGAATTTTGAATTATTAATTATTGATATAGCTCATTCACACAAGGAAAACATGTAATCAAGTAGGAATATAATTCCTCTTATTTAGATTTTCAATAACCAACAATATTGAAACTTTCAAAAACCGTTTCACTTCACAAATCACAAATTGATTTTTGCAAATCAATATCCACTTTTAGGCCTTTTAAATAGGATCAACGTGTATGCAAAATTAGGCCTTTAATAACTACTTGCATATTCAAGACTGCAAATAAAGCATAATTTATCATATTATCACTATAAACAATTTGCAATCATAAAATGAACAATTAAACTTAGACCACATTAAAATCAATTAAAGCATGCTCATATAAGTAGACACTAAAACCCCCCACTATTTTTCAATATTAAAAGCATATAGATCAACATATAAGATGTTTATACACACGCAATATTAACTCTACTTAATGAATCATGGATCAAGATAAAATATATCAACTATATATGATCATGCTCGTTTGCACATTTGATGTAGTTGTAATACCCTCACTATTTCTCCATTTAAATAAATTATTTATTTTCATAAATATTAGCTCTGATAATTTCACTATCATCGATAATCATTAATCAACATAAATTACCGTCTGTAAATATAATCTCATCCATAGATAATACATATGCCATGTATTGAACACACAAGAATAATATAATAGAGCCTAAAAAAGTTTCAATCTTTATTTTATATCTTTTCAATTTTAATAGCAAATAAACCCATGATAAGTGCTCATAATGTTGTAACAGATAATTTCTTTTAAGTCTACTATAAAACTGACAGTAATGCATATTTCAAATATATGAGACGCAGTCAAACACGTGAAATTAATGCATTGAATACCAGTAGATATTTTTTTTTTTTTTCATTAATCATAATTAGTTTCATGTAGTTCTATGTGCTCAAACTCGAACGAAAATTTCTTATGCATATAACTCGCATATGTACAGAACAGATAATCCCAGTTTCCCACAAATCATCAACACAAATATTATGCAATATTATCATAATGCTATGAATAAACGAAGAACGTACCCGATTTGATAATTCTCAACTATCAATTTTTTTTCGATATCTCCAAAACGCACACAATTTGGCAGCTGCAGCAGTGCTCAGTATTTGGAGCGTATCTCTCTCGTTCAATGTCCGATTTCAGTGATTCAAGATGTTTCGGACAGCCAACAGAAATTCATAAAACTTTCGTGTTTTACACATTCCCAAATTCGGATATTATCATGTCCAAAAATGGCCTCGAAGTATAAACTCGTGAATTGCATAAAAATTCTCCTACAACAAAAATAAGATCATTAATTTTATTTGGTCAACACAAGATATTAATAAAATAAAATGAATTGTCTCCCTTTCATCAACAATGGTTGCTCTTTTGGATCATCGTCAAAGCTCATCTTTACGGGATCAAAATTCGTCTTAAATTGTTGGAACTCGGGCTGCACTTTGACGATTGATCACCAAATTTGCGGATTGAAGCTTGTCATCTATTTGTTCTCTCTTTTCTTAGTTGATGATTAGCTGCAATAATATACACAATAATATGAAGATAGGCAAGGTGAGGCGCGGATTAGGTCGCTCTCTTAAGACGAATTTCACGACCCATTCTCTAATGAGGTGCAAAAAGGTTCCGATTCGTGGCGCCTATGGGATACAACAGCCCAGTCTATCTCTCCGCTGTAACTTCACCGAAATTGCACGTTCGAGTGAAGTAGAAGTTTACACCCGACACACAACAAGAGCTCAAAATATATGTATATAGTATAGATGAAAAATGTTTCTTTTTCTCTTCACTCTTCTTTCACCTCCATTTACCAAGCCATAATGCCCCCTTTATATAGAATTTATGGTGTTTTATGTAGGAGAATAATGACTTTGAAAGTTTCAAAATACTGGTCTAATGACCCTCATAAAATTGGTAAAAGTCATTATTATATTTTATAATAAAATATATTGTTTTTATTAAAATAACCCAACACTTTATAAATAGTTCATAAAAAAGGACTGGAAATCTGACCAAACTAATAGATACTTGATTCGAGATCGTTCGTAGAAGCTCGTTTCAATTTGTTAACAAAATGAACCACGTTTGATCAACATTTTCCGTTTCATAGGCTATGAAGATCGAGCTCGATTGAAAAAAAAACAAAAAAGAATAGGTAACAACAAACAAAAAATATTCAAACTACTAGACTCGAATCGCAAATATTCAAAAGGCGAAATATTTAATATACTTAATACTTTTTAAATTTTTAATAATTAATAATATGCAAGTCATAGCATCTTCAGTTCATAGTAGGGCATTACACAACCATTTCATGAAATAAAAAGAATCCAATTCCTACTTCATGTATAAAAACTCTCTGAAATTACATCCCCAAGAAAAAATTCATCATTCGCAGTTTTGCACTCCGAAATATTTCCGACAACCCCACAAAACTTTGTGCCATACGAGTTCTCCGACCACACGAGCAACTCGAAAATGAAATTTGTGTCACTCACAATTCTTTTTTTTTTTTTTTTTTAAATCGTGGTGCTATTTAATTTATTAATTAGTTATCTGTCTTCGTGGATGCATGTTGTGTTCTCGATTTTCCCATCTCTTCGCTGCTAGAAGAAGAAGGGTTGAGCCCGTATTCGCTCGTTCCGTAATCACTGCTGTTGAAATCTTGGGATGACATCACCATCTGTCGGAACTTCACCATGTCGGCATTGTAGGCCCCGGTGTCGTAGGCCCCCTCTCTGCTTCCGTTGGGATTGTACACATTGCTTTGCCCCGGTTTTACGCCTTCGTTCAAGTCGTCTAGTGACGAATCTCCTTCCAATGCACGTGCAATCTGATGTAAATAATGAACCGTTGTGTTTTAATTAAGGTGGAAATGGAACTGATCGGACTGCAATTAGCCCTTTCAGAAAAATTACCAAAAATATTCGGAAGTGAAAAACTAAATACTCAAATTCCAATCTGTTTCAAGAAGATGTAAATACATAACAATTTTGATATTATAAATGTAATTTCCAGAAGAAAAAAGTCATAATTTTCAAAAAAATTAATAATTTTTTTCCAATTTCAATCCAAAAAATTCTGAAAAATCGAAAGATTTTCTGAATTTGGAATGAAATATTGTGCCGAAATCGAAAAAACTTAGATAGGAATCAAGGGAGATTGGAAATTATGTTTCAATTTCCATCCTTTAGTATTACTTATAGCTCGACGTAGCGCACTTTATTTTTTCTAGTTTATTGTCGACTTCGGAATATCATCTAATTCGAATCCATGTTATATCGCACATTCAAACAGCAACAAAGCCATGATTTTTATCTTACGTGTGAATCAAATATACACATAGAAGTTTTATTTGTGGAGCTGAGAATACTACACTACTCGTAAAATAACAAATTTATGATTAAAATACTAGGTTTTGTATAAGCCACGGGGCCATGGCCCCGTGGCCATAAGTTGGCTCCGCCACTGCCATTCAGATATTATGGCCACATTATATTTAGCTCGTCCATATTTATAATATGGAACACCGTTCTATTAGATGATACATCCGAATGGAGTATACTAGGTAAAGATAACATCGACCGTTCATGCAATTCGAAAAATATTGGATGAAGGGCAGATCTTCACGGCATTTACCGATGTATACTCCACCGGGTATAGTATAGTTATTTGATAGTGGAACACCTAATATGAAAACACTTATACGAAATACGAACAATGTGGGAAGTACATATATTTCAAGAAAATACGTTTGTATTAATACGTAACATATCGAAAGGTAAAATCAAGATGATTCGAAAATTTTTGCTTACCTGGCTCATTCTAGGACGCCGTCTTGCTGAATGACGTATGCTAGCTGCAGCACAAGCAACCATACGAGCTATCTCTTGCGGAACGTAATTGCCTTCAAGCCTTGGATCAACCAGCCCGTTGTAATTTCCATCTTCCGATGCTTTCGACAGAAGAGGCCTCGCCTATAAATAAAATTAAAATCGAATAAATAGAAAGAGTAGTAGTTGCCTAAATATGAAGAGAGATATAGAGAGTAGAGAACAAACCCAATCTACTAAACTATCTTCCATGATTAAGTTAGTCGGGTCAACGGGTCGACGACCGGTTATCAATTCCAAGAGCATGACCCCGAACGAGAAAACATCCGATTTTTCGGTTAGCTTCCCACTTGACGCATATTCGGGAGCTAAATACCCGAAAGTTCCCATGACACGTGTAGACACATGAGTGTAATTATCCGAAGTGAGTTTCGCCAAACCGAAATCAGCCACCTGGAAAATATACACAAATGAAATAAATATATGATTATGATCATGAATATTATTTAGGACATTGAGTAGTTATAGTATATTACCATGGCTTCGAAGTTGTCGTCGAGAAGAATGTTTGCCGTTTTGATATCGCGGTGGATGATTCGAGGGTGGCCTTTAAACCACAAAATAAAATAAAAATAATGAGAATTTATAGAGATTTAAAACTAGTAATTATACGAAAAAAAACTAACGGTATATCGTCTTACAATCTTCGTGTAGGTAAGCAAGTCCTTTGGCCGATCCAATCGCAATTCGAAGCCTCATTGCCCATGCCATGACCGGTTGACCTTTTCCTGCAATTACATAAACCAATAATTACACCGGAAGGGTATTTAAGTCATATTACATGTTTTTTGTCAGAAAAAATCTTACTAAATGTGCAGAACATAAAACGACAGTTAATTTGAAACGGAAGGTCTTTCTAAAAAGAACAAATTCTTACCATGAAGATGGAATTCCAAAGTCTTGTTGGAAACAAATTCATAGACAAGCATTCTTTGACCGTTGGCGATGCAATAACCGACAAGGGAGACGAGGTGGCGGTGGTGGACCCGGCTAATGATTTCAACCTCGGCTTGAAATTCCCGCTCTCCCTGCCCGCTGCCCGACTTGAGACTCTTGACCGCCACCTCCCGCCCGTCGGGCAAAACCCCTTTGTGCACAAAGCCGAAGCCGCCTTGGCCCAACAAGTTGGCCTGAGAGAATCCGGCGGTGGCTGCCGCTAGATCCTCGTACGTGAATTGGCTCATGCCGACACCGATATTCGGCGACGGGGCCATCATAGGCGGCGTCTGGTGTTGCTGCCCCGAGTGAACAGAGCTGTAATCGCTGCTCGTGTTCACTAGGGGCGGCGGGGGCGGTGCCCCCCACCCCCCGCCGGGGGTGCTCATGAACCCCGGCGGTGGCGGCAGGTTTGATTGCTGGTCGGCGGTGCGGGGACTCTGCCATTGTGTGGGATCATTGTAGTATTTTTCATTTCCTAATAGTGAAAAAATCAGTTAACATACCAAAAAGAGTTATTTGCAAATAGTACCCCTGTGAAATCTCGAATGGCTCAAAAACCCCCTGTGTTACAAAATGTAACTAAAACCCCCCTATGAGTTTTTGTCAAAATTGCATGTTTTATATTAGATTATCAAGAATTCATGCATTTTTGTACACTTTGATTTTAAAAATTCTAAAGCTAAAGTTGCATGGGTATACCTTTAGGGGGCTGTATGGGATCCATATAATATCGAGGTTTCTTTTTCTTCCTCGAACATATTAGAAAGAAAATGATTAATGCAAGAACCAGCACTCCTCCGGCGACAATTCCGGCGATGATGGCCGAACTCGTGTTTGAATCATGGGATTGAGTCTGAGACGAAGCATCGTTCGAGCCCGACGATGAAGAATCGGTGCCCCTATTAGCGGGTGCTGCTGGTGGAGGATGAGGAGGAGGAGGAGAAATTGAAGATGGAGGTGTTTGCGCACCACCGGCTCGTGGTGGAGGCGGCGAAAGGGCGGCCGGTGTCGGAGGGGAAACGGTTATCGGGGGTGGAGGGGCGGAGTTCGGTGGAGCCGGGGCGGATGAGTTATTTGACGGTGGAGGGGGCGGCGAGGCGGCTACGTCGGGGGGTGGGGGCGGGAATGCATCGGGTGGTGGGGGTGGGGGTTGATTTTGTGGAGGTGGAGGTGAAGGAGATGTGGTTGGTGGCGGTGAATCTGGTGGCGGAGGGGAAGGGGAAGGCTCGTCCGGAGGTGGTGGAGGAGAAGGGGAAGGCTCGTCTGGAGGCGGAGGAGGAGATGATGCTGGCGGTTCGGACGTCGTTGGTGGTGGTGGAGATTCCGGCTTCGGGGAGGAAGGATCGGGAGGTGGCACTAGCTCTTGGGAGGATTCTGTTGGCGGAAATGTGCCGGAATCGCCCTCCACCGCCGCCGGAGCTGTGTCGGGAGATGAAGCCATATCGGTGGAACTTACGACAAATTTCCTTCAACGCAAACATGCACCGAAATCTCCACACCTTCTCCCAACCAACAAAAAAAAAAGAATAAAAGAATCCCCTTGATCACAATTATATATCCAACAAACCTTTAATTTTTTTATTCTCATGCAAATGGTTTTAATTATCGAGATTCGATTACGAAAGACGATATTTTCCCATGTTTGCGTTTACCTGAAATTTTAGGGAAAAAGAAAAAAAAAAGATAGAGAAATTATGGGATTGTGTTTGTTGCCATAATTTTTACCAAAGAGCTACCTTCTAACACATTTGCCTTCCTATTAAAAAGGTAATATGTTTCTTTCTCTTTCTTTTTAAAAGGTTGTTTGTCTCTTAAAAAGATCTCTTATTTTGGTAGGAAGTTAGTTAATAGTTTTCCAACAAGTTCATATTTTTTGGCTTGTCATGTTTCACTTTCCCTCCCTAATCCCTATCCCCAAACACGGTCCAAAACTATTGACGTAGAATAATCTTAGTATAGCAAATTGCACTTCACCCCCTAAAAAAATGTCATTTTTACACTTTTCCCCCTTCGAAATATATAATTCGGTGCATTTTTCCCCAAATGTATATTTTTGAGCTAATTATAACTGGATTAAGAGTGTACATGTCAATTTACTTTTTCCGCTTTAAAATCCCGCTTTCAGTACTGAGTTACTTAGGGTTCCTAAAGCGACACTATACGCTTCCAAATTGACAAAAAGATTGATGGTGAACAACTACCCCCAATTCTTCGCAAGTCTAGCACTCCCAATATTCAGAACAAAAGACAAATATCAAAGGAATGTATAAAATTATAAACAAGACTGTCACGTTTGAGGAATCGTTTGAACGATCAATGGAGAACACATGGTTGTTGCCTGCAGATTCAATTGATTTTGGGAGAAAAGAAGAACCCTATGTTTTTTGGGTTATTCGATTTGGGAGAGAAAAGAGAGCCCAACGACAATATGGGGTGGAAGATGGTCAAATGATATTTACAGCTTTAAAAACGAAATTACCCCTCCCAATTACTGAAATCCGACGAGAATTAGCCAGGAAATACACATTTGAGGCAAAGTGCACCGAGTTAAATATTTCGAAGGAGGATAGTCTCATTTTTCTATTTTGAGGGGGAAAGTGCAAAAATGACATTTTGTAGGGGATGAAGTGTAATTTTCC